CTGCCTTCCATAATTCACCTTTCCTTCTTCAGTCTCCTCAGGTCACTGTTTTTGCATTTGCCTGTTTTTAAGAGGTCATTGGCAGTACAGACAGGCTGTATGGCCATGCTACACTAGAACAATTAGAAAGTATTTCTTTTATATCTGATCATTTCCATTGAAAAACAAGTTGCTATGTGCCATCAAGTCACCTGTGACGCATAGCAACCCTATGTACAATAGCTCTGAACCCTGCTTTATCCAGAGCCAGTCTGCAATACATATACCCCCATTAACCCAGTTACTATGTCAATCCATCTCATCGGGGGTTTTCCTCTTCTGCGCTGTCCCCTCCACCCTTCCAAGCATGACAGCCTTCTCCAGGGACTGGCCCCTCCTCTCCATGCGCCCAAAGTATGTGAGATATGTTACTAAATTAAAATTAACAGGGTACAGGGGCAAATTTCTAGTTATCCAAGTGCAGTGTTTGCCAATAAGCCGCTTTAAGGTTGTCAAAGTGGCCAATGAATCTCTTCTGGTCGACCTTATACAAAGGCAAGAGGGAAGAGCCAAGATCTTGCGTTTTGATGGAAATGTCATAGTAATAAGTTTTCATATGGCAGAAAGTCCCCCACCAGAAAACAAAAACAAATAAGAGCTTGTGTGTCATAAATGGGGGGAAGAGAGGAATGGCATGAGACTGGTTTGTCTTTGTACTTTGCCAACTCCCTGTCTCTGACACAACTACCCCCATTACCCCCAGTCACTGAATTAATCCATCTCATCCAAGATTTTCCTCTCCTGCACCTGCCTTCCACCCTTCCAAACACGACGTCCTTCTCCAAGGACTGGTCCCTCCTTATAATATGTCCAAAGTACATCAGATGAAGCTTCAGAATCCTTGCCTGCAAGGAATAGCCTGGTTTCACCTTCTCCAGGACAGACCTATTTGTTCTCTTAGCAGTCCATCATATAGTCAATACTCTTCTCCAGCACCACAGCTCAAAGGCTTCAATTCTCCTTCTATCATCCCCAGTCATTGTCCAGATTCATGATGCATAGCAAGTGACTGCAAAGACCATGACCTGTATCAGGCGCACTTTAGTCTCCAGACTGACATCGTTGCTCTTCAGTACTTTGGAGAGGTCTTTAACAGCAGACTTTCCCAATGCAATACATCTTTTAATTTCCTGGCTGCTTGTACCAAGCAAACTGAAGCTGTTAACAATCTCGATCTCATCACCATCTATCATGATGCTGCCAGTCAGCCCAGTGGTGAGAATCTGTTTTTTTGATGTTGAACTTTAATCCATATTGAAGGCTGCAGTCCTTAACCTTCTGCTGCAAATGCTTCAGGTCCTCCTCAGTTTCAGCAAGCAAGGTTGTGTCATCTGCATAACACAAATTGTTGTTGAGTCTTCCTCCAATTCTGATGCCACATTTCTCCTCATAGACCCAGCCTCCTGGATGATCTGTTCTGCATATAGATTGAAAAGGTCTGGAGATAGGACATACCCTTGGCCATACATCCTTCCTGAATTTAAACCATGCAATGTTCCCACTGGTGTAGGAGATTAGAATTTACAACACACAAATCTTGAGGACATAAATCTGTAACAAGTATGGTATCTGGCATACAAGATACTCAATAAACATTTGTTAAATAATTTCAGATCCAGGGCAAACAGCTCTTACTAATATGTCTAATAAAACGGTAATAATTCTTTTCAACTAAAACACGCTACAGAAACACAGTCTCCTGGCTGTGACCCAGCACTCTTTGACACCTATTTTCTTTTCTTCCATATTGTGTACTGTTGAATTAGATCCAGCGGGCACAGGAAGAGCTTGCCTCTCCTTTTCCAGCAGAGCATCTGGTGGATTCAATCTGCCTGCCTTTGGGATTGCAGCACAGCTTCTTACCACTAGTCCACCAGAGCTCCCTTTGATTCCTGTTTTCAGGCTGCCACTCTCATCTCTATTCTCCGCCCAGGATCAAGCAAGAGCAGGCTCTGTCTGACCCACATTGCTTCTTTCCAGTCACTCTGCCTGCCTTGGGACACATCCACACTTGCGAAGGGGACTTTTCTCAAGATTAGGAAAGGAATGGTGCCTTTATACACACTACCTGGGCATTTTTTTCCTACAGAGAAAAATGGATGAAAGAGACCCACGGGAGTTTTGCTGCCTTGTTGAAGACTTACTATCCTCGGGGGTGGCAGCATGCCCAGTTTAGGAATGTGGGTTCTGAAATCAGATAGGTCTTGATTCAGATCCCACTGCAAACACTTGTCCTGGTGTGACCTGGTTTTATCTATAAAATGCTGTGTCCCATTATGTGTTAAGCGCTGGCTTTCCATGGATGAGTCGTCTTCTCATGAGCCCTACCTAATATTTTCAAAGATATCTAATATAAAAATTTTTGTGTACTGAAATGCTCAGGAAGCTGGGAAATCAATTATTAAATTTTGGATTAACCCTTATTGATAACGATCTTGTCCTGTCTTAAGTCTATAGTTTCATACTTGACCGTTGTGGACAAGGCTGGTCTCATCATCTGCTGTGACCAAGAATAGCCTTCAGGTCACCGTTCTGAAGAGTAACTATCAATGTCCAAGGTCAGAATGCTCTGAATGAGTTCTCACTAAGATGATCTTGACCTCAAAACCATTCCCTGGAAGTGACAATGTTTACGACTGCGTTATTATTCATGGTAAATTATTCTAATACAAGTAGACTACAAGGGGAGGGCGGAGCTGCTCTTACAGTGGGGTCATTTGGCTATATCATCAACTTTTCCAAGGAATTCTTGGTGGCCTACAGGGTAGGAGGCTGGGGTGCCAAACCAAAGGTAGGTAGTTTGAATCCACCAGCTGCTCCATAGGAGAAAGATGGGCAATGTCTTCCCGTGCTATTTACAGCCTCTGAAAACCTGATGCAGGGTCAGCTATGGGTTGGTTCCTAGACCGGACTAGATGGCACATAACAACAAGCAGCATTTTCCATGTTGTTGTTGTTGTTACGTGCTGTCGAATTACTTGCCACTCATAGCTTGCCACTATGTACAACAGCTCTGATACCTGCTTTATCCTGAGCCAACCTTACTATCTCTGACACACCTACCCCCATTACCCCAGTCACTGAGTCAATCCATCTCACCCAGGATCTTCCCCTCCTGCGCTGTCCTTCCATCCCCCCCAACACGATGTCCCTCTCCAAGGACTGGTCCCTCTTGCAACATGCCCAAAATACGTCAGACAGCCCTTCAGAATCCTTGCCTCTAAGGAGCAGCCTGGTTTCACCCTCTCCTGGCTGGACCTGTTTGTTCCATGGTAGCAGAGCATTCTCCATAGCTTGCTTCTATTTAAGGCTTCCCAATCCCGGCAATACTTGCTCTTTTGCAAAACAGACAGAATGGAAAAGGGGGGGATGGGCAGAGAGAAAGAGAGAGAGAGAAAGACACAGAGAGAGAGAGAGAGAGAACTCCTGCAGCTGTCCTTTTCTAGACTTAAGAGCAGAAAGGCACAGGTGAACATTCTAACAATGCACCACCACCATCCAGGATCTCCCAGAGAAGAACATGGACCGCCAAGCTTTACCTTGAATCCTGGGTGTCTCTTCTTGATGCAACGGAGGATATGGCGAACAGTTTCGGGGTGTGGCTCTCCATTGGCACAGTGACCCGGTGAACCTAGGGGGAATATGTCCTACCACAAGAACACAGCAAGGCGATGTGATGAACACTTTTATTTACAAATATAATTAAAAGCTCTGACAAGTTAATCATGCTCTCCCTTGGAACCTGAAAAATGTCTTGGTTTCTGATTTGTTTTTAAAGTGCATGCAAAAGAAGTAAAGCCTTTTTTTTTTTCCATCATTTTTTATTGTAAGAAAATACACAGTTTGAAAGTGTGGATAATGCAATATTTATGACCGAGATATGGGACTGAGGGGAGGGGGGGAAGGGACGTAAAAGAAAAAAAAGATCGAGATGATCTGATTGAGAGACAGTGTTCAACTCCAAATACTGAATTGGAAAAGGAGGGGGGTGGGGAGGAAGAGGAGGAGGAGGAAGTAAAAAAATTTTGATCAGAGAAACAGTTAAAATACAATATGAAAATAAGTAATACCTCTCCTTAAATTCCTTCTATACACAAAATACACGATTTGCCAAAGCCCAATTTGTGCTACTGGGATTCTGTGAGTTCCTTAAATGTATTCACATCCTCTGCGACGGCAGAAAATGATTATGATACAATCAGAGTATGCCGGAGACAAGGAAATTCTTGCCAGCAGGTTCTTAAAAATCACAAGATCTCTTCACCCCGCCCACCCCACCCCAGCCCCAAAAAAGTAATAATATGTCACCACTGGTATGTACATCACAATTAAGTTTCTGTAAAATGTATCAAATTTTCAATCTTTAATAAAACTTTTGTTTTTTTTTATTTTTTTAATCATTATTCCTGATGAATAAATACCAAAAAAATAAAATAAAATAATGCAGCAGCTGGTTTAGGTGTAAGGCTGCGGATATTGTGTCTCTCTCCCCCTTGGTATTTTATTATTGATTTGTTTTATTAATGTATCTTTTTCTTTTTTGCTTGACTTTCACAGATTGGTGGTAGTGAGTGATTGCTTAAAGCAATATCTATCCACTTTGTTGTTGTTGTTGTTGGTTTATTGGTTGGTTGGTTGGTTTTCAAAACAGTCTCCACAGCTATTCATGGAAACATTTTTGGATCACATCGATACTGGGACGTGGAGCGTGACTGGAAGAGACGGCCAGGCTCCGGCCAGCGCTGGAAGTTGACTTTGGGGGGAGGAAGGGGGCCCCTGATGGAGTAAGAATAAACAGGCACTAGTCCGACACAATGTCAGTAAGAGAGAGAGAGAGAAAGAGAGAGCGAGCGCGCGAGCTACGCCCGTTTAAATGGGGAATGTGGTTTCGCAGGGTCTGAACTTTTTTCGGTTTTCTTTTTTTTTTCCTTTTTTTTTGTAAATGGCAAAAAAATTGAATCTCATCTATAGTCCTCCTTAGGAAAATCTAATGTAACCAAATTCCCAAATCCCATTCTGAGACTCTCCATGTCAAAAGTCTCGATCTCTCGCTCCTGCCTTTCTAACAGGTACTTGATTCTCTCGCTGCGTTCCTTCTGAAGGGCCGCCAGCTCTTCTTCAATCTGAAAGAAACACAGAGGGTGGTTCTTAGTGGACGGGCTCTCCTGGCCTGAGCCTCTCCACCCTGGGCGCTTGTCCACACGCGTGCACATCCAGGACCCACGTGCACAAGAGCCAAGAAGAAGCTGGGCTCAGAGGGGCTGGGAGGGGTCCTGTGGTAAACCGCTTGGGTCTTGTCGTCTTGTGCTGAGTTGGAACTGACACAGAGCTGACCCTCCATTGGGTTTTCAGAGGCTGTAAATCACATGGGAAGAGACTGCCCATCTTTCTCCTGCAGAGCAGCTGGTGGATTCGAACCGTGTACCTTAGGGCTGGCAGCACAACTTCTTAGCATCTTCTGCTATATAAAACTTGCTCGCAAGAATCAAAATGCTTGGGGCCCACCTGGGCTTAGCTAGCGGTACCATGCCAGGAAGCCAGGCAGCTGGGCTGAGTGAGGGCAGTGTCTTGCGGCAGAAGCTAAGAGGCACTCAGGCCCAATGAGATTGTGTCGCTTCCCCACAGAGAGGCTGGCCGCCCCCTGGGTCATTAGCGGTGCAGCTGGAGAGTTGGAGCTGGTCTCTGGGAACCAGAAGGAAGTGCAAGTAACTGGTTACGCTTAGGAGCCCCAAGAGGCTGTGCAGAACCCTTCTCTTCTACATTGCCCAGCAATATCGGTGGTTGTTGTTGATGGCCGTCAAGTCGAGCATGACTCACAGCGACCCTATGAACAAAAGGCCTGAAGCCCTTCTACAACTACCGACAGTTATCAACGTTCCGAGAGTTCACAGAGCAGTATCTAGAGTGACGAATAAGTTCAGTTCAGACAACATTTATTATGCATGGCACTATCAGCCTCTCTCCATTTTCATTAAAATATCCCGGCTGGGGATACCTCTTGGTTTAGAAAGAGTCGGAAACGGAAGCCAAGTCTATATTTGGCATCCCCGTGCCATTTAGCAGCCAGCAGCAAGACGGGGGCACTTTTAACCTCATGCCTTTTGCTCCTTTCACGTCATGTCAACTGCCTGGTAAAGCCACATCACTCCTCTGCCCGAAGGCTGAGGATTGCCTAGCATAGTAATAGAAAGGGCTTAGGTCTCAGATAGACTTTACAATCGATTTTAGTCATTTTTTGAGCCTGTGAGCTCTGTGGCTGAGTGGTAAAGGGTTGTGCTGTCACCTCAAAGGCACGTGGTTCCAGTTCACCGGCTGCTCTTCAGGAGAGAGATGGGCAGTCTCCTCCCAAGTGATTTACTGCCAGAGGGTCAGCTATGAATGGGTTCCAATTCAACGGCACATATACCACCACCCTCCCGGTCTGCAGAATGGGATGGTGCCACCTGTCAAGGGTCGCTGGGAATATGAAAACGGAAACCCCACTGCTGCCAAGTCAATTCCACATCACGGCTTCCCTCCGTCGGGTTTCTGAGTCTGGATGCCTCAGAGCCGCTGGTGGATTTTTTTTTTAAACTTTTTATTTTTGCGTGAGTGTACCGTCAAATCAGATCTGACTGGTACAGGAGGAGATTGTCCCTCCTTTTCCCGGCAGAGCATCTGGTGGCTTCAAACCGTGTGCCTCTGGGATTGTAGTTGCAGCTCCTTGCCACTAGGCCACCAGAGCTCCCCCGCTGGTGGATCTGAACTGCTTGACCCTTTGGTCGGTAGCCCGCTGCACCGTGCACTATGCATTGTGCCACCACCGGGGCTCCTCTGGGGGCAGGAAAGCAGAGGCGACCAGCTGCATCTCCCGGCTTGAGCAGCAGGGTCCAGGGCTGTGTCCCCACCCTCCGGCCACTGCACGGGACCCACGTACCTTCTGCTCCAAGTGTGCTCTGCGCAGAGACACCCTCTGCTCCAGCTTCTGGAGCTCGCGCTCGTGTTGTGCCTCGGTTTGCATCTTGATTTTGCTCTGGTAGGCGTTGAGCAGCTCCATTTCCTGCTGGAGCTGTAGCCTCAAGGCCTGGCATTCTGCTTCTTGAGCCTCGTCGAGCCGTAACTGCGGGGCACAGAAGACACACACTGTAATTCCCCTCGAGCCTACAGCACTTGGTGGCGACTGGAAGCGGTTTCCTGTGTGGACGGGAATGGATCCCTTCCTCACAGACAGATACCCCCAGTCCGTTCAGAGGTAGGAGTCACAAATCATGGGGGAAATCGGCCCAGTGGGCTACAAAGTTTGAAACGTACATTCTTTCCAGTATAGTCTGAAATCAGAACAGCAGTGATCAGGGAGGGGACGCGCAATAGTGACTGAGCCCATCCAGGGACCTCAGACGCTGGCACCATGTCTAAACTCCAATTCCACTGTTCACTTAGACCTATCTATGGCCTTGTATGATATTTAACCTCTCCAAGTCTTGTAATTTTTCATTTGCAGAAAGAACCGTCATAGTTTCTACTTCCTAAGACTTCCAGGAAGATCAAACCAAAGAATTCCTCTAAAGCCGTTGGCAGGGAGTTTCCTGTAGATTAGTGCTAAGGAGTTATGCTCCCTACCCAAAAGCAAGGGGTTCGAAACCACTGGAGGGTCATCTATGAGTCAGATCCTACTCGACAGCACAAACAACAGCAGCAGCCCTTGGCACAGCAGCTCATGCACACACTAAGTATTTAATAAATAGTAGCTTATCATAAGTAGGGAGCTGTGGTGGTCCAGTGGCTAAGGAGCTGTGCTGCCAATCCAAGGACAGGAGGTTCGAATCCACCAGCTGCTCTGAGGGAGAAAAGATGGGCAATCTCCCCCCGTGCAAATGAAAGGCTCTGAAAAACTACCAGCAGGTCAGTGATGGATCAGTCCTGACTCCACAGCAGTGAGCTGAGTGAGCTGTTAACATCCTGATTCTCACCACTGTGTTGCCATAGTTAGATCTCTTCGACGCCACCATATCTTAGCTATCTTTGACTCTAAAAGAACGAATCCAATCTCTGAGAAGCTTGAGGGATAGACCACAGGACTGCATTGTTCCAAGCAAGTAATGGTGGGCCTCTACCAGCTAGCCTAGTAATTCTGCCAATAAAACCAGCTAGAACGCGTGTGGCTCAGAGTCCCTTCCCACTGAGGGAGCGCTGGTAATCTCACGGGCACGCTCTAATTCAAAGCAGACGAGTGGAGATCACAAGGCAAGCCTGGTTATTTCCCTCGCTCCCTGCAGCCAACTCCAGGCACCAGGAGGGCCTGATCCCATGTGGGGGATGCACGGAGACGGCAACCAGAAACAGCTTCCTTCCAACGAGCACAGTACCAACCTTCCCAGGGCAGTGAGTCAGGAAGGGATTCTGATCGTTAGCTGGAATATGCTCAGGACAGCTGATTCCACTCAGTCTCAGGCTTTATTTTGTCCAGATTTGTCCTCGGTTTTAGTTAAGAGACTCAAACCTGACACTGCCATCAAGTGAGAACAGCCTCATAGCTGGGTTTCCGAGGCGCTAACATGCATGGGAGGAGACTGCCCCTCCTCCTGTGAAGCAGCTGGATTCGAACAGCCAGCGTGGCATGCGGCCTTTGAATTAGCAGCACAACTCGCTGTAGCCTCCTGTCAGACCTTCCTACTCGCTGATTCAACTCAGCTCAAGGTTGTAAACTACACGGGACGAGACTGTCCCGCTTTCTCCCTCACAGCCGCTGGTGGAAGCGAACCACCAGAGAGACATGGCCTTGCTGTATAAACTCCCTCTGGATTACGCCACCAGAGCTCCTCCCAAGGAGGGTATTGTTACTGTTAGGTGCCAGCGGGTCAAGTACGACTCACAGCCTGGGAACAGCAAATGGGACCATACTGCCCCACACTGCCCTTGAACTAGATAGTTCTGCCTACCCACATTTTATCTGAGTGTTTCCACACAGACCACTTCACCAACATACTTATTTCCCAACATCAGCTTTTTTTCCCTACTCTGTGCAATTGGTGACAATTATCAATATCTCTCTCCAGATATGGCCTTAGAAATTTAATTGCCAGGGAGCTCTGGTGGCCTAGTGGCAAGAAGCTGCACTGCAATCCCAGAGGTGTGTGGTTCAAATCCACCAGATGCTATGCTGGAGAAGGAAGGGCAATACCAGTCAGATCCGATTTGATAGTACACACACAAAATATAATAAAATTTAAAAAAAAATTAAATAAAATTTAAAAAAGAAATTGAATTGCCTAGTGTCTCCTGACCACTTTTGGAGAAATGTATTAAAGAGACAAACATAAAATAAATTGGGTAATTCTAATAATTAAACCTAGTCAGCACCTTTTAAAATCCACAAAAGAGAAGAGAACCCTTCTCATTTCCCCAGGAGGAAGGAAGGGAGAAGAGATTCTGCTCACAGTGGGGGCTGGTCTGCAGGAAGCTGGGTGAGGTGCAGCCCTAGAGATAAAAGGCCAATGGTGTAGAAGCTCCTCCGTGAGGATGAACTGTGATCCTCTCACGATACCAGAGGCTCTTTACCATAAAAGGCAATGGAAACCCTGCTCCCTTGTCCGGCTGGTCGCTACGAGCCTTGGCCAAGTGGGTGAAGAGGCTCAGGCTATGGAACTTCAGTCTATTGCATCACCACCTCCATCATCTTTGGTTTCTGCCATTCTATTATTAATGGCAGTAACTAGGTTATTTGGCACCAGCTTCTGGTTCAATGAAGGTCCCTGTGACAGAAATCAGTGAACATTCCAGTACCCAAAAGGTGCATAGGCCAAAAACGGTTGAGTTTTATGAGAATGTAGACAGGTATCATGAGCTGTTATCTTAAGTGGTTTCAACGGGAGAAATGGATGGGACAGGAGCCGTATGTGACAGTGGACAAGCATCTGGGCTGTAGGCCCTCTCTTCCTCAAAAGGTTCCAGTTCCAGCTGTACCACTCATTTCACTGTGTGACCCCTTTAACAACTTTAACCTCTGGGCCAAATTTGGTCTGTCGCTTGATTTTGGTAAATAAAGTTTTACTGGAAGACAGACACATGCATTTGCACACATCCTGTGTTCACAAAACAACAGTAGCATGGAGTGGTGGTGACAGGGATCACGTGGCCCACAGAGCCCAAAATATTTACTCTGACCCTTTTTTAGAAAATGTTTGCCACCCCTTTTTAAAAGTACTCATTGGGCCTTTTGTCAGTGACCCACTGAGCCATCAAGAAAGGGCACAATAAAAACACTACTTTTGGGTGAAGCAGCAACATCTTGTGTGCTTTGCTTCAATTGGTGGTGTGACAAGTTAAAAAAAAGAAAAAGAAATAAACTGTTTGCCACATCTGCCTTTAAGCAAACAGTCTGACTTCATTCAACCTCCTATATCTTACAGGTGAACCATGGTTAAAACAATAACCATGCCTTCATAAAACTGAAGTAACACTTCAAGAACAACAAAGACAGTTCCTGGCGTGTGGTAGGCACATGCTTGGTAAAGAATAGTTGTCAACACACATTCTTCTATTTCCTCTTTGCCTCTGAACAAAGGGCCTCTCTTTACATCCAAAGCAATTATGGGCCTACATTCTTAATCCAGTTCTCTTCCATCTACTGTATCATTCACTGAGCACTTGCTATACGCCAGGCTTTGCTGACAAGTACTGACAATACAGAGATGAACAAGCCAAAGATCAATCACTCTTTGCTTCCTAACTCTCTCCCCTTCTTCTGACCTTTAACCTCGCTCTACACTCATCTATGTTTCTGATTCTGACCCCACCTCTCTGCCTACATTACCTTAAATAAAGGTCACGGGGAACATCCTGAGCGGGTCCCTATCTTACCTCCCAGCAGCATCTAAAATTGTGGATGGTCCCTTCCTTCTGGAACTCTTTCTGTTGCCTTTGGAGACACTACCCCTATGGGTTTCTTCCTCCCTCTGTACTGGCCCTTTACCTGTCAGTCCACACCTCACTTGGCCGTGAAATGCGGGATGTTCCTTAGGACTATGTCCTGGGCCCTCATCCTAAGGGTTCCAAACGCTTCAATTAGCATCTGTGTACAAAGGATTCCCTCACTGACACCTCTACCTCAGGCCTTACTCAGAGGTCCAGACCAGCGTATCCAGTTACTCAGGAGACATCACCACCTGGATCTTTCCCAGGGCCTTTGGCTCAACACAACTAATGTCAACCCATCCTTTCTCGCCCACTTCCATTTTCACCGCAGGTAAAGGACAGCATCACTTACCACTGTGCTCCAACCTGGAAGAACTAGGGGGCCCATCCTTCACAAACCTCACTCTCCACATTCAACCTGGGCTCAGTTCTACCTCCTGCCTACCTTTCAAGCTTGTTCTCTTGTCTTCATCCTGATTGCTTCCTCCTTAGTCTAGCTCTACTCCCTCATGCCCAGGTAAAAGCAGCAACTTCATAGAAGACCTTCTAATAGCCATAAGAAGAGAGAGCGTTCTGGTGGCTTACTGGTAAGGACTTGTGCTGTCAACCCAAAGGCACACAGTTCAGACCCACCAACTGCTACACGGGAGAAAGATGGGCAGTCTCCTCTCATGAGATTTCCTGCTTCTGAAAACCCACTGGAGGGTCAGCTCCGACTCCACCACACACACCAAGAAAGAAAGAGCAGCTCTTAGCAAAGCCTGGAAGCCTCAAGAAGACCTACGCCCCGTTTACCTGTCTGTTCTCATTCTCATGTTACAGATTTCTTCAGAAGTGACACTGCTGTTCCCACTGTGATGCACACAGGCCTCTTTGTTGTCAGGAATGCCCCCCTGAACTTCAGATTAAAGAATCATTTTTCAGAGAGGCCCTGCTTAGCGCGCTCCATGCCAGCTCAACCCTCTTGGGGTCCACTCTCTTGGCACCTGTATAGGCTCAGCCATAACACTCAGAGGACTTTTTCCAATGCCTATTTCCTCCACTGTTCTAGAAACTTCCCAAGGACAAGGTCCATGGCTGCCTCCTTCGTCACAGTACACCACGGTGCCTACGGCACACTGCAGGCACTTACTAAACACTAGTTAAATGGATGATAACACTGGTTCTACCCTCAAGACCACATTCAAGCCTTTTCTGATGACTAGAAGTCCTCCTTGAAGCCCATCTTCTCTAGATCTTTTTCCTCTCGCCCTTGTTAAGGATCTGGGAGGAGAAGTGTCACTTAAAGTTTCTAGCTCATCTTTGAATTATTATCCCTTCAGTGACCTAGAAGTCTTCCATTCCCTCCACATTACTGATTGTGACAATCAATGATCCAGCCCACCATCAAGTCCAATGAACACCTCAAAAGTTCATTATTATAAATGGTCTCTGTGTGACCTCTGGAATGACCAACTAGAAAACTTTGTTCTGGTTTCTGTAACATAATCTCTACTGGTTCCCTTCCCATGTCTCTGGTTACTTGCCTTCCTTGGTCTCTGTCCACTCAGTCCTCAAATGCCAGTATTTACCAGATTCTTTGTCTATCTCCTTCCCATCGAATCCTATCTCCTATCCCAGGTAAACCTCATCTATTCATAATGGCTACAACTGGTCCCATACACCATGGATGTACATCTTTTTTGTCTTCAGTCCTGACATCTCTGCTAAGCTAGGGACCCCTATTCCTACCCCTGACCTATTTACATGCAGGTAACCCACTCAAGTAACACATTCATAACTCAGTCCATAACACCTCAGATAGCCAATACCACATCTCCTTTTCCTATCTTGGTAGATAGTGACCTGCATCGTTCTATCCTGAAATTCACCTCTTGGATGGTTCACTAGGTTCTTTTTGATTCCCTGAACCCTTCTCAGACCCTTCTGCTCCTCTCCTTCTCTATCAGAATGCTCTCTCTTTCTTCAGGACTTCATCATATTGACAATAGCTCCCTCGTAGGTCTTTTAAACCTGGATTTGCCATATTACCACCAGTATCTTTCTACCACTCATATCCTGTCCCTTTCATTTTTAAAATGGGCCTCAGTGGTTTTACATACTCTATTCCTTACAGAATAATGTTCAGACTCCCTAAGAGGGAGCTTGGGGATCTGACTTCCACTCCATTTCCTCCAAACAAGTACCCTATGCTGTTGCCAAAGCAGCTACAATGAGTATCTCAAGTGGACCACACTCCCTCAGGTCCTTAAGTCTTTGCATGTGTCTGTCTGATGACCTCTTCCTCTTTAAGACTGATCCTGTGAAGCCTTCCTTGAATTACCAGGCAAACCCTCAATCCCAGTATGACAAGACCTCTCATTCTGGGCCTCACAATTCTCTCCTTGAATGTAGGCCTCCTGTGAGTCATCACAAACACATTCCCCATCCTTCAACCCTTGCCTCTGTTGGTCCCTTCCCATGGAACCTAATTATCTCAGGGAATTTCTTTCAGCTTCTTGCTTTAACTCGAAGCTTTCCCTAGATTAGATCCATTCTTCCTACTGGTATTCTTGTAGCCCCCAATACAGTTCTTCCTACTTCAAAGCGCTTGGGCTGTATCACCATTGCTCAATTATCTGACTTCCCTGCTTAGACACAAACGACGTGAGGGTGGGATCGATTATTGCTTCTGTAGCTTACTGCTAATATCTGAGCTCAGCTGAGTGCTGAACAAAGATGCCTCATAGAAGTTTATTAAACGAATGTGCCTGTGTGTCTTCCTCTCTCAGCTGGGAGGACAGGGGCTGTGTCTTATTCATTTGTGTCTGACATGACTTAAGGGATGGTCAGCAAATGGTAGACAAATGAACAAACGGTGCCCGTGCTCTCTAGCACAGCTCGCCCTTGAAGTCCCTCTGTGCCACAGGCGTGATTTCACACGGTATTCCTGGGAGCTTGTGGGATAAGACGCACTCCGGCAAGTATCCACATTGGCTTGGCTTTATTCGGCGGCGTCATTTCCTCAGTTCTGTGAGCAGGAAAACACCCATATCCTAAACTCTGCACAAGAATCATCTTGGAAACAAAAGGCTGGGTCTTGAATTTCCTCTGATTCCCAAAGCTCTTGAAGCCGTGGCACCAAAACCTAACCACTTACCGCTTGAGAGGCCATCATTTCATTTATACTCTGTTCATACTGCTCTGCCAAAATGGCAAGTTTTCTCGTCTGCTCGTCCTTCAAAGTCTTTAAGATTGTTTTGTGCTCATTCTTTGGAGTAACTTCCAACTGGTGATTCTTGAGTGCTTTATACTGTTTGGTCTGTACTTTGCAAGTGTCCTGAAACTGTTTTTTAATTTGCATTTCCATGGCCTGTGTAGACAAGGTCACAAAGGGGAAGGAGGGGGGGGAGAAAAAGAGAGAGAGATATCAGAATACAGAAAGCATGACTTTCTAATGATGCAATACAGTCCTAGGGCCATTTATATTTTTGGTGCTGGGACCCATATTGTGGTTTATCATAATGAAAATTACAGGACACATCCAGGAGTTAATGTTACTAATACTTTGGGTTCTCTATTGAGTAGAAATAGGCTGGATGTTACAAATACCTCCCAAAGAAAGAATGTAAGAATGTGTATCCTGAAGGAATGACAACTCTTCACAAACTGCAAATACTGCTGAAGAGTGCAGCATGCTAAAAAGCTGGCCACTGACTGAATGGTTTCCTAGGCAGAGTCTCCAATATGCCCAGTCACGTGTTTCTGGTTCCCCTCACTTCTTTTTTTTTTCCCCCCCTTTTTTATTAATTTTAATGAAAGTTTACAGAGACTTTGGATTTCCATTCATTCGTTGTTGCACTTAACTCTTTCCACTTGTGAGTGAGAAAGGGGCTGGCTGACAGGAGACCAACCAGCCCCCCAGTGCCCTGGCCTCCAGCATTTCCTTGACAAATTAAAAGAGGAGATGTGACTAGTGCTTGGTGTTCTAATCCATTTTGGTATACACTGACCGGGAAAAGTGATCTTTTTTTTAAAATTTTTTCCTTTTAACCTCTTAACAGGTTGCCCTTGCAGGCAGCAGTATCAGAGGCAGAGGTGACAAGAAGCAGGTGACTGGAGGCCAAAAGCCTTTCCAGGAGGTCACCTCTAGGTGCTAGATGTTCTAGGTGCTTTTCATGAGCCCACTGGGGACACCGGATGGCAGGCCTCACTGAGAGACTCCTGATTTGACTCTAAGGGGATTGTAGCCAGTGTTCTTGAAGCTGGCCTCCTAACTGCACTAACACTGACAACACCCTCCATACACATATCAATACCGTCCATACAGCTTGTTAAATACCAATCAGCTGAAGTGATCAGGATGCAGTGAGGGGTACAGGAGTTTCTCAAGACACCTCCTGTGCAGGGGCAGCGGATGCCTGGCACGTGCCAATTTGTTCCTGACCCCTGTGTCTTTAATAGATGTCACTCATCAATCTTCCTCTTTCAAACTAAGCTTGAACGTGGTTCTGCGTCCTTCTCAACACAGTGGCACTCAAGGTAGCTATTAACAACCGTCTGACTGGCACGAGAGGGGAAACTGATCTGCTTACACCTGCCAAGTACCTTTCTCATGCCCTGGGTTAGAACACCTACAGGTTGTGAAGGGAGTGTCAGAGAAATTACCTAGCAGGTACAAAGAGAAACATAAACATTACCCACTGCAAAGTTTCCCAGACCAGCCTGTGTGTGGCAATGTCGGTCCTTCTCCCTCACAGCTAGAGGTTCTCATTCAGCAGATGTGGGGCCCAGAAATTTGGAATTCTATACTGGCGGCCACTGGCCAGGCTTAAGGACAGCGGCCTGCAGCTCACCAAGCTCTGGATCGTGACCGAGGAAGGACTTCTCGTCTCCTCTCACCTTTAAGTTTTTTGGCTGTTGCCGGAGTTCCATGACATGCTTTCTGTGCAGTTCCCTTTCTCGCCGCTTGTTGTATTCCAACTGGTTCTCCAGTTCGGTCTGGTGCTGAAGGCGGATCAGGTCCATGCGAAGCTTCTGTAACGTGTGCAGCTGCCGGTATTCCAGCTCTCGGGTGGACTCGTCGTGCCGGATCAGCATGGCGTGCTCCATCTCCTTCTGCGTCCTCTTCTTATTTAGTTCCTGCACAGAGAGAAACGGATAAGGATGAATGGAGACGGCCTTGGGAGGAGGGTGGATCTACGTGAGGCAGGGCAAGGAGGGGGACCCGCTAACTGTCCCATGAGTGAGCCCATTAATGGAGCTGGCTGTGTGATTTGATGGGTTTAGCTTGGCAACCCCTGGAGTTTCTGCGCCTGGGCCCAAAGGCAGGCAGCTCCTCAGAGCAATCATGGCTGCACCATTTAGAATGTGTGTTTTTTCTGCAGGATCCCTTCACAGCTCACAGAACTGCTGTAAATTTTAATTGTTGTTGTTGTGAACCACAGAGTCAGAAGCGACCCACAGCTGACCTCCTGGTGGGTTTTCAGAGGCAGTTAATCGCATGGGAGGAGACTGCCCATCCTCCCACGGAGCTGCTGGTAGCCCTGAACCATGTGCCTTTGGGATTGTAGGGCAGCTTCTTGCCACTAGGCCACCAGAGCGCTCAAACTTTAATTAGATGATGGAATATGCCTAGATGTTGAACAGCTTTTATCCAGTGAAGACAATGGTTCTGGACTCTGGTTTCCCGTTAAAGTCACGGGGGTAAGCTTTTAAAACATAAGGCACTGAATCCTTGGGCCTCAAATTCTGAGACGTGGTCTGGAGTTGGACTATGACACCAATATTTCTCCAGGTACTTTTAATATGCAGCCAGGGCTGAGAAGCACTGAGTTAAATGGATAATGTCTCAGATGGGTTTCATTTTCAGACAAATACCCTGGTTTTGCAAGTATCCTAAGTAGGACAATTATATCTTTGCAAGAGCCTCAGAGTTCAGAGCATGCTGGGGAAAAAAGCAGACGACAACCTTCCCCTTTCATTTTCTTGTTAAAGTCACTTTAATCTTTTCTAAATCTAATAATTTCCAGTACTACTTATGTGTGTTTTGGCTTTTTTTTTTTTAAGTTGAGGTAGATAAAAGGAAACTAGGGGTGAGAAAAAGAGAGGAAGTTGGAGGTGGGAGTTTGGTTGTGGGTTTTTCCATTCACTAATTCAAGAATGCTTCCTAAATAGTTCTATATTCAAAGATTTGAACCATTTGCTCTGAGCACATAACAGTGTTTGCCAAGCCTCAATTCTAGTCTCAGGTTCTAATACACCGAGCTGTTGTGTGTCACGGAGTTAATGCCAGCTCCCACTGGTCCCCACGGGCATGGGGTGGATGATAGCCCACGCGGTTTCTCAAGCTGCCGTCTTTATGGGAGCAGATTTTGGGAGGCTGGTGGGTTCCAACTTCTGATTATTTTTTTTTAGCAGTTGAATGCTTAACCACTGTGCCACTAAAACCAGAAGTAAGACCACGTCCACTGCTGTAGAGTTGATTCAGACTCCTTACAACCTAACACTGGGCTTCTGATGCTGTAAGAATTACTAGCAAGAGCTGGCTTTATTCTGCTCTTCATAAAAAAGCAAATGATAGTTCCAAACTGCTGACCTCTGGGTTAGCAATCCAGTGTTTAACCTGCCACCAGGACTCCTGATATTGTGCCACGAGGGCCTCTTGATACACTAATAACGAGGTGTGGTTATTTGTTAAATACCCTTACACTGGAACCAACTCGGAGCTGACCCTCCAGTGAATCATACGGGAGTGATTGCCCATATTTCTCCCACAGAGCAGCTGGTGGATTTGAACTGTGTACCTTTGGGTTAGCAGTGTAACTCCTTACCGCTAAGCCACCCCAGCTCCCTAATGGAGAAGTAGGATAGACAGCTACTGAAGTATATGCTTAGCTCACAGCTGACTGAAGCACAGGTTCCTACATGGCCCAACTGGTACCAGTATATTTTCTGAGAAATTGGAATAGAGATGAGATATAGTCATATGAGACAGAGGTGCAGCCACTGAGACTGAAGTTGAAGGAACGACATGGATGATGGCCATCTCACACTCTGAGGATGGGGGCTCAGGGACAGCTGGAGGACTCTGAGGACAGAGGCTCAGAGATAGCTGGACGTCACGGCCAGACGCATGAAACAGGAAAAGGGAACAGCTCAGTAAGTATGTGGATGTCCGAGTTCTAGGCTGGTTTCAAAGCCCCTCGGGAGGCCCAGCCATAGACCTGCTATTGAATTTTGTGACATATTCCTATAGCAAATGCCCTGGTTTTAGGTTAAGTCAATCCAAAGACATTTTAGTTCACATGCAGTCAAAAGAGAACTTCAATTAAAGTCGCTTGTGCTTTCATGGTTCTTCTTTTACTGGGAAGCAGGTCTCTCAAATGTCTAAATGATTTTACTAGTTTCATTTGAGGCTCCTGGGTTTTGAGGTTCTTAGACAGAGAGCCCTCAAGTACCTCAATAACTATGGTAGACTAATTTGAGATTCCCTATTTTATATAATAATGTTATATGTGGTTTTGTTTGTTGTTGTTGTTCTTTTTAAATGAAGAACATTACTAAGCAGGGAGAAATTACTACATAGAAAAAACACTTTTTAGCAGCAAGGTTGGAGATGTTAAGTGCTATAAAAGTGGAGCAGTAAAGATCAGATGTGATAAGATACCTGAAGAGGCTGGTATTACTACTATTTAAGGGGGCTGTGGTGGCTTAGTGGTAAGAAGTTGTGCTGCAATCCCAAAGGCACATGGTTCGAATCCACCAGTTGCTCCGCACGAGAAAGATGGCAATCTCCTCTTGAACAACAACTAGTTAGGAAGGTCAAGGGCACGAAAAAGCTCGAGTCAGACTTAAAATGAGAACAGCAGAGCATGTCCTCTGACGGCATCCGCTATGGGAGAGAATACAGTTCATTTATTGTCAAAAGATTATTAATACCATTATCATTTGATGTGGCTGGGAATAAATACCTTGCACACTTGTTAACATACCGGGTTAAAAGATGTACTTTAAACTGCACGGCATCGATTATCAGAGCGGTAAGATCCAAGCAAACATAAACCAAAACCAAAGTCAGCGATGTTGATTTGACCCCTAGGTTGACTCCTAACCACCTTCCTTCGGGTTTCTGAGACGGCAGCTCTTCACAGGGGCAGCCTTCCCATCTCTCTCCCAGCAAGCAAATGCTGACACGTTTATTTTTTTGATCACTACTTTTGGAGCCTTGTGTCACACTGCTGTTTAGCTCCACACACATGAAATGTACATTCTAGTGGGGAGATGTAAGAAGTATACACGTAGCCCAAGTTCTCTTGAAGGACTGATAATCTGAGAGCATTTAGCCCCATCACCTGCAGTGTTTTTCTTCTCCCTCTTTACCTGGACCATCTGTGTTCTTCTTTAGGCATCACCAGCTGGCCTGTAGGGGGCACCACAGGACAAGGAGCTGTTCTCAGAGCAGTGACCCTGGGAAAGCTAAGACCTGTAAGCCAGGGAAGGTCTTGTTTGTAGGTCAGCATGTCATCCTTGACCTCTGAGTAGCAGGAGCCCCACTGAAGGACAGTAGAACATTCCACATGTTCTTAAAAGGAGAAGTTCAACCTGAGTCTGAGGCCTGAGCTGCCCAGGACCCAGAAGCTCACAGAGAGATACAGAAAGCAAGTAACACTGGAAGAAATCAAATGCTTCCCTTTATACTTGGTAGAATGTTCTAGAATGTTGTCTGTAGAATATCTGCACCAGAATTACCTAGGTCACAGTGGTTGAGCTTTATAACAAGCTACCAAGGAATTCTATAGATAATTGGATTTAAAAAATATTCAGGGGGTAGGCAGGGAGAAAAATGCAACAATGAATAAATGGAAATCCAAAATCTCTATAAATGTTCCTTAAAATGAATAAAATAAAATTAAAAAATATTCAGAATGAAGAATAGTGTGAAACACAATGTATATAAACTTTGTAAGCAAACCAATTAAAACATAATGTGAAATAGAATATATATGAATGATTGAAACACAATGTAAATGAAAGATTGTATAAAACATGATATATATGAATGAAACATAATGTAAAGGAATTATTATATGGAAACCAATAAAGATATTTAAAAAATAAGATTCAGAGTGAAAAATCACTAAACATGGGTGGCAATTTCCAGTCCTCCACTGGTTTAAGTAAGAATCTGAGAAAGTCTTAAACCACAATTTACTTTCTTCAAGTATTAAAACAAGAATAATGGGCAGCACCATGGGTCACAATTTTTTTAAAGATGTAACAAAAGGACATGATGCGAGAAGCCATCACATGAAGAATTAATGCCATTATTATTTTTTTGTATTCAGAAAAAGATATGTAGCATTTAAGATCTTAAATGTTGTTTTTATAAACATCTTTCAAAACTTCATGAGAATCTTACCAATCATGTATGAGGGCCTGGATGGAGCGTGTGTACCAACGTGCCCTCCCTCGCCATGTTTCAAGCATTTGGAGGTTTTGTGGACATAGCATCCTTGTTTTTAAAAGCAACCCATTTCACTCAGGTCAAAGTCCTGGCCCTCAGGCCTATTTAAGCTGAGTAAAAACTAGAAAGCCAACTTGTAAATGGAAGAGTTGTTCGCCTCTGACATGTAATGCTGTCTTGGTTTCAGTTCTCGGTTTCAATAACTAGACAGAGAAATGGTAAAGCGTGCGCTTGCTGTGACATTAGAGGAAGAGGCCCAGTCCAGTTGGGGGCTAGCCTTTTAACTGTTTTAATGAACTGGAAGGATTGCTAATCCTCAGGTTTGGCAAAGATATGGGAAAGCAGACATTCCTAAGCTTTGTTGGTAGACGATAACACAGTACAATCCTTTCAGGGGGCAATGTGGCACATTCATTTATTTTTTATTTTGATTCACTTATGATTGTAGATGTAGACACTCTTTGAGGGGCATCCACTTTCTAAATAACATGCCTCCAGAAACTCTAGGAACTTTGATAAATGTTGATAGTTGTAGAGGGGTTTCAGGCCTTTTGTTCATAGGGTTGCTATGAGTCGTGCTCGACTCGAAGGTAATCAACAACAACAACAACAACAGAAAAAGATCTATGCATAAAGACAGTGTCAGAAGCATTGTAATATTCCAAAACTTCAGCAAAATGTCCACAGAAGGGTGTGCTTCATTAAAGAAATGGTTTCACTATAAAATACTGTTGTTGTTGTTGTTGTATACCACAGAGTCGGAAATGACCCATAGCTGACCCTCTGGTGGATTTTCAGAGGCAGTTAATTGCATGGGAGAAGACTGTCCATCCTTCTCTCACAGAACAGATGGTGGCCTCGAACAAGGTGCCTTAGGGACTGGAACACTGCTTCTTGCCACTAGGCCACCAGAGCTCCCTATCAATCGTTAAAAAGAAGGAGGTGCTGTATGTCTAATATAGTAAATAAGGAAAAAACAGCAGCAAGATAGTCGAGAGGACACACCATTTTTCGTTGGCTCAGATTCTGTTACCCTTTCTTCTGTCAAAAGGCCCTCTTTTTTGCTTTGCAATAGACACTCTGAAATCAGGGAGTTTGCTGAGCAAGGGTGGGCACATTACCCAACAGGCTTAATCTTGCTTATAAATTTGAATTTGAGTAGAACTGATATACAGACTCTATCCAACCAAATGCCTGGGGGGATGTCGTTAGCTTTGGCTTCTGGGTCAAAGAAGGGCTCACTCTGCTCAATTCTTCATTTCTTGCAGCCTGGGTCTGCAGCCCACTCACCTTCCTTCCAATACATTCCTCTCGGTGTTTGAGCCAGAGTTTGCTTCTAGTGATGGTAGGTCAAAGCAAAACATACTAAGAACTGTGTGACTTGAACTTGTATAGGACAGGGAAGGGTTCAGGGTACATAGGGTTGCTATGCATCGCGGGTGACTCAACCAATAACATTTGATGATAGGTTTGGAAGCAGGAGTGGCATCCACTTCCTAAACAACAGGCCTCTGGAAACTATGAACTTTGGTAAATGTTGATGGTTGTAGAGGGGTTTCAGGCCTTTTGTTCATAGGGTCGCTATGAATCGTGCTTGACTCAAAGGCTATCGACAACAAGAAGGGTATATATACTATAGAATATACAGGGAACTCAGGTGGCCCAGTGGTAAGAAACTGTGCTGCAATCCCAAAGACACACAGTTTGAATCCACCAGCTGCTCTGTGGGAGGAGGTTGGGCAATCTCCTCCCATGTGATTAAATGGCTCTGAAAATCCATTGGAGGGTCATGTATGGGTCACTTCTGACTTGATGAAACACAACAAAAACAATATAGAATATATAATTAATAGATAATATATAATAAGTGCTCTCTCTTTCTATGTATATAAGAGGGGGAAGCTTTCCAAGAACATATTCTCTACTCAAAAACACATACACACATGCAGAGAGAGTAAGAGAGAATAGGAGAAAGTGAGGGAGAGAGAGTGAGAGAGAATAGGAGAAAGTGAGGGAGAGAGAGTAGGAGAGAGAGTGTGTGTGTGAGAGAGAGAGAGAGAGAGAGAGAGAGAGAGAGAGACACCCTATACAATTGGCTCTGGAATAAATCTAACCAAAAGAAAAATCTAGGTTCTTAAAAAAAAAAATCCTTAGAGACATTATTTATTTGTCTAATTTTTCTTCAAATGTGTTAGAATAGCAATTGCCAGAAATGTTTAATAAGAACAGTTGCCAATAGCTTATTTCCAACTGGCTTTCAGATTTCTTCCACATTTTATTTTTTCTTTCTGAAAAACTCAACCTGTCTAGTTGTGAATTCATCACTTTCTTACTAAAGTTTCTAACCTTCTCTCTTCCTATTCAAGTCCATGGCGGGGTGGGGGGGAGAAGATTCCAAGTCTCAAATCCTAAGGATGAAAATGTTGATTCTTCCCTCATCTTTTCTGCTCATTAGCCAACTCCTGTTTATTTTCTACTTCAAAGCTCGGTGGTTTCTCCACCTTTCAATAAGATAACATCTAGAAAGAGTCTGAGTCTGGCCCATAAAGACATGGTGAATATGTTTCCATCTGCCTCTTTCCTCTTTCTCGCTGAATACTATTCTCCAAAAAGAATTATACTGTGAAGCCACAAACCACACAGAACGGCCTTGTTTTTCTGGGTCTTGCGAGTTTTCTGGTCTCACCACCTTTCTATGTCTTCCTATTAATAGAAAACATTCATCAAGTTTCCATCTAACACGGGTTCTGGTTCTTACAGGTTTTACTGTTTTCCGTTAGCTGTACATCCGATATTTGCTTCCACCATACCAGTCAACACTGGTGAATATCTTATCAATGCGGGAGCTAATTTATGACAGTCTTCTCTGATATGGCCAAGTTCCTCTGATTTCCTACTGACCTTAGTATCAGCAATCAAAACACATCCTAGAGCCCTTATCTCAGGTGATGGTATCACGCCCATCCACTCTCCCATATGAGAGCTCATGTTTGACTTAACCTTCTTCTGAAACTCTTGGGTCCATTTGGCCAAAAATGACCGTCAGTTCGGCTTCAGAAATGTTACTCAGCGGACCTCGCCACCCCAGACGGAAGCTGGAATGGGCACGTCCTCGCTGGCCTCACAGCTTCTTGCTGCCTCAGCCTGTCCCTCACACCGATGAAGGAAGTTTTCAATTAAAACAAAAAACAAAAAACCAACAACAACAACAAAAAAACCCCAAAAGCAAACCCATACCAAGCAAACGCTTCATTGTGATTTTTCTGCTTCAAAACCTCTGATGGCCATGTACTGCCTTCAGGCTAAAAAGCTAGATTCTTGCATTAACAAAAAGGCCATGCACAGGGGCCTCCCAACTGCTTGTGGTGGGCATTCCACACACACCCCCAGACTCGTCACACCCAGGGGCCTGTCAACCACAGCCTAATTCATGCTTTTCTATGACTCTGGGATGACAACATTTTATTTGTATTGTCTGTTATGGTACCTCACGGTTTATTCAGCATTGAATGTGTCAGAGGCCGCCTTCTTTTATTAGATTTAGGTAAACTTGAAGACCAGCCCCATAGCTTCTAAATCGTCCTACTGTCTACACATAGGAGGCACTCAGAAAGAGCTGGAAGGCAGAACGAATCCATTTTACTTATAGAGAACCAGACTCATATTTGAGTGCTTCATGTGGCATGAAGGGAGCTCTGATGGCCTAGGGGTAAGAAGTTGCGCTGCAATCCCAATAGCATGCTGTTCAAATCCACCAGCTGCTTTGTGGGAGAAGGATGGTCAATCCCCTTTCATGTGATTTACAGCCTCTGAAAACCTGCTGGAGGATCAGCTATAGGCTGGTCCTAATTGGTGGCACACAACAATAACAACAACAACAACAACAATAACATGGAGTCAACCTTGCCAAGTGGGTTTAAATAAAATTCTCTATTTCACTTATTTTTTTTTTCTACTGCATGTTTGTGCTCCTAAGTAGAAAATTCTGCTGCAGTTATTGGGGGAAAGGAGATTCCTCATGCTGCCGCTGGGCTTTATCTGGCGCTGGTGTTAGGTGTCATGGAGACAGCTGCCGCTCAGCGACCCTCTGCACAACAGAGTGGCACACTGAGTGCTCTTGTACCATGTTCACAATCACGGCCATGCTAGAGCTACTGTGTCGACCCACTTCACTGAAGGGTCGCCTCTTCCTCGCTGGCCTTCCGTGTACCAAGCACGGTATCTTCCTCCAGGAACTGGCTCCTCCCTATCAAAGAGACTAGCTACCTCTTGTATGTTGCTGTTGTGTGTGTCAGGTCGGAATCGACCCATAGCTGACCCTCTGGTGGGTTTTCAGAGACAGTTAATGGCACAGGAGGTGACTGCCCATCCTTCTCCCATGGTGCAGCTGGTGGTCTCTAACTGTGTGCCCTCAAGATTGCAGCTGTCTCATACCAATGGCAAATTCATTCACTGGTGATGGGCAGACCTGCTTTGTGCCAGGGCCTTGCTACCGGCTAAGGATGAAGGAAATGAGCGAACCTGACACGGCTGTGACCCTCCCACAGCTCACCGTCTCCTGAACGAATGGCCAAGGTTATGAGCGCACTGATTACCTCCCGAATGTTTTGCTGCTCCACCTCGTGCCGCTTGATCATTATTTTCCGCTTGAAGAAACGACAGTTTTTGTCGTAGTACAGTCTCTGCTGAGTCAGGAGGTGGGCTTCCTCTTCGGCCTGTGTGTGCTGCAAGTTCTCTTTATGCTTGGATATCCGCTCCTGCTTCTCCTTCTTGGGTGTGCTATGATCCTCATTCATTTCCTTTAGGAAAGATGAAAGGGAAGGGGAAAAATAAAGAAAATGCAGGTTAGGTTCGGCAAAAGGAATTATCATAGATGAAATGATTTGGAAAGCATGTGGAATGTAAAGACAGAAAGGCTTGGGGTTGTACTTCCTTCATTTTTTTATATAAATCAATTAAATGTGAAATAAGTGAGATAAAGTCTAATTAGTTACCAAACCTTTGCCTTCTCTTTCTCAGAAAGTATTTGTATCCAGTGCCTACCACATGTCAAAGTGCTACAGAGCAATGATGTCAGTTTAAAGACTAAGGTGTGCCTGATCCCAGACATGGTCTTTGTAATTGCTTCCTAAGCATGTGAAAGTTGGACAATGCATAAGGATGACAGAAGAGTTGATGGAGAAGAGAAGTGAGAGCCCCAGGGGCTGCCAAAAGAACATTAAGCTTGTCCTGGATGAAGGGCAACCAGGTGCTGCTCCTTACAGGCAAGGATGGTGAAAGCTGGTGTCACAAACTTCAGGCAGGTTGTCAGGAGGGGCCTGAAAAAGACATCATTCTGGGAAAAGCAGAGATCAGAGGAAAAAAAGGAAGACCCCCAACGAGAAGGACTGACACAGTGACTGTCACAACGGGCTGGAGCATATCAGAGAGGATGAGGATGGCGCAGGACAGGACAAGGTTCAGATCCACTGTTCACAGGGTCGCTATTAGTGACAATTGATTTGATGGCACCTAACACCATCACTTGTTAGACCCTGTGCAAGGTACAAAGATACAACGGTAAATATAAAGATCGTGACAGCTACCAGCATGTGCTTTATAGTCCAGAGTAAGCAATCTGTCAAAGAACAACACAAATTAACTGAAGATTTCTGTGAAAAGTATGGAGAGGGCCAAGTGTTTGGTCCTATAGGAATGTTTAACAGAAAATGCTTGATTCTGGTAATAGCCAAGTTGAAATTTGAAAAACAGTTGAAGGAATTTGCCAGTGGAAGAGAAGAATGAAAAACATTCTCAGTAGAAGAAACAGTATGGACACAGCTCTAAAGTTTGGGGAAGATACAGGTCTGATCAAAAAGCTGAAAGGAGGTCACAGTGGTCAGTTCAGGCTGATGAGATGAGGCTTGACGGGTAGACAGCACAAGTGGAGATCTTAGAGGTCAAGTCAAGGAGAAATGAGATTGTACATGTAAGGGCTCATGATAGCGTTCTCCCTTCCCCCTAGACCCCAAAAGAAGGAGATACTAGCTATTATGTGGAGAACAGAATGAAAGAGACAAAAGAGAATACATGGGGACAGGTGGGAAGAGATACGGCAATGGTCTGGGCAAGAGAGATGACAACAGCTTGGACAAAGGAGGTGGTGACCCGTCAGAGAGAAGCGGACGGATTCCAGCGGCAGGAGGTAACAATGCAAACGAACGCTCTGAGTTAGAATTTCACGACAAATCCTTCTTCACTGTGATCAGAAGAGCAAAATAAGCCACTTCTATTTTTAAGAAGGGGACCTCTGGTGGTGTAGTCGGTAGGAAGTTGTGTTCATGACCCCAAAAAGGGTGTCTTTTATGGGTGGTTCGAATTCACTAGCAGCTCAGTGGGAGAAAGATGGATACTTTCCTGTGCGATTTATAACTTCAGAAAACCTGCTGGAGAGTCAGCTATGAGTTGATTTTGACTTGATGGCAATGAGTGAGCGAGTGATAATTTAAAAAAAGACAAAATTCATAATGATCTCAGAGAAGTAAATAAAGGGAATAGATCAATGAATCAGAACAGTCAGGAAGATGTTCATCTTCAAGGAGAAAAATCTGAGTTCATCGAAAATAATGTACCTTACTGCTTTTCATCCATTCAGACATGCGTAACTTATCTGAAATATTCCTTAATTGATAACATGCATTTAACACTGTGCGCTGCAGAGATTACTCATTTAGATTCTTACAGTTTTTCGTCAAGAAGTCTTTATACTTTCAACTTTCCTATCACATAAGTGAAATCTTAGCAGGATCCACACAGGGAAGAGTTGTGTCCAACGTGACTTAGATGAAGGTACCTGGGATGTAGTCTGGGTACCTCATCTCTTTATGCTTTTAGTTTACTAGTACTGAATAATGTGGTTTTGGTTATAAACCACCAACTTGCACACTCACACTCAATAATGACCATTAAAAAGAAAATAAATTATTTCTAGACCAGCGAACATCATTTACCTACCCCATACCCCTAATTATCTATCAACTGCAGGAATAATGGAGATTCCTAAGTTATTCCAAGGATACTATCGTTACATACATACACATGTAAATAAGTATACATTTCACTTTTAAATGAATTGAACTGAGCTTCACTTCATAAGGAGTAATACTAACTCTAGACCCAAGAAAGGCTCCCTCAAATTCACTGTAGGTATGCTTTTCTTCATGGGCATGTTTGTTGATAGCGTAGATGTAGTAGTAGGTCTATAGACACTACAAGTCTGAGTATGTCTAAGGACTAGGTGGGAGTTCACAAATGCTGTTCTGTGGAAGAACCTTTGAAAGGTAGAGCTCATGGCACCTTCCGATAGACAAAAGTGTACAATGATGGTTCTATCATAAAGCATGGCCTTGAAAACATGGAGTTAAAAATAAGAAGGTATTTGCAGCTGATAAAATCGTGTATGTGTGTGTGTGTGTGTGTGTGTGTGTGTGTGTGTATTAACATTATCCCTCTAACTCAACAACATCCTTCTACTTTTATGTAATAATTAGGCTCTAGCCAATAGCTAAGAGAAAATGAAGAGGATGTGACCTTTCTTCATTGGGCTATTTCTCTCCACAGGCTGGCTTTTTAGACCTGAGAGTGTCAGAAATGTTTCCCCATTCAGCCGCTGTGGACCCAATACAATTTCCTGTCAGGTTCGACAGTTCCCAGGGGCAATCAAATTTATTATTTTTTTAACATGGCTCATCTGGGCAGGGCAAAAAGATCCTGAGGCTCCCCTCAATCCACTTGTCTTCACTTCCTAATGGAAAAAGAATTGGAGAGGAAACTGGCTATGTCCCCAGTTGTTAATCCATAGAGGGAAAAATGGGAGGCGGAACAAATACTTTCATACACTGGAACAATGCCCCACCCTGAATTTTATTAAGGGTTAATGCACTTTATAGTCCACAAATAAGAACTCCTAGGTGTTATGAGAAGGAAGTGTATGGGATTACAGGCAATTCGCCTGTAAGAACCGGGCCAAGGAGGAGCAAAGGAATGCGAACTTCCAGATCAAATCGCTGTCCCTCAGGCAGACCGAAGACCACTGAGGACTGAAGACTGGAGACCAGGTCTCCAAGCAAGCACTGAAGGGTCAATCATTTATTCATCAACTATTTACATGGACTGAGTGAAAGGACACAGAGAAGAAGAAGAAAGCAGAGATGGGCTCTGCTTCTGAGGTGCTTACCAGCAAGTAGGGTAAGCGGGCCAAGTTAATTCTGACCAATAGTATGTCACAAAAAATATTATTATGAATCCAGTGACACCGGTCTTGGTCAAGGGAGTCAGGAAAGACTTCCCTGGAGAAGTGATATTTTAGTTAAGGCTCTAAGAAAGACCCTTATGTCTTATCAAACTGTTGTGGCTAAGTGTTTTTGAGTTGAGTACAACTCACAGCAACTCTGAACAACAGGTGTGAACCCTGTCCTATCTTGCACCATCCTTACCATCCTCAGCACTTCTACAGCCACCTCCTCAGACACCGTATCAACCCATCTTGTTGGGGGTCTTCCCCTCTCTCACTGACCCTCCCCCTTTCCAACCACGATGCCCCTTTCCGAGGACTAGCCTCTGCGAACATGGCCAAAGTATGTGATACAAAGCTTCGCCCTCTTTGCCTCTGTGAACATACTGGTTGTACCTTCTCCAAGACATAGCTGTTTGTTAGTTAAGGCAAAGAACAGGAGTAGGGACTGATTAAACTAAATTGTGGTTGAGGAGGAGCGAGGAGGAGAAAGCAGATCAGTGCGACTGAGGAAAGGATGTGAGCTAAGAACCTGAAGAAGACTGGAGCTGGAGACATCTGAGACCGGAGAAGGGATCCTTGTGGCTGGAACAGTGAAGAGTGAGGGGGCACTGGTGTGGGAGGAGACTGAAAGAGGGGGCTGGCAGCAAACCGTGGGGGACCAGGCAGGATTCTCTTCTATCTTAAGAGCAAAGGGAAGACAATGGGTGACCTTCAAGAAGAGATAATATGACCCCTTATTTGAATTATGAAAGATCATTTTTGGCTGAGCTAAGAAGAAGAAACAAGTATGTGAGAAGAGCTGAGGTAATCTAGTTGTCCATGATGAGTGGTCCCTGGACAGGTGGAAATAGCTCCATTTGGGGCCTTAACTAGAATGAGGGACATTTTCTAACTCCAGCCCAGGCTCAATGAGTCAGAAAGTCTAGGGGTAAGGCTTGCTGACCTATTCTAATAAGCAATTCAAATAATTCGAGCACAGTTTGGGAACCACAGAATTAGATGCAGTGCAAGACGAGTTGATTTTAAGACCCAGCCTTGTGAACGGCTGTGTGGTGACGACACAAATGGTCTGCTCACCTCCTTTATCTTTTCCTTACAAATCTTATACTGCTTCTTCTGACTCTCTAAGAAAGTTGTCAAGTCCTTCTTCTGCTGGGCCAAGATCTGTTGCTGGAACTTCTTCTCATCTGTTGCAGCTACCTTTGCCTGAGGAGAGAACAATTACGATCAACGTTGTGTCTGCTCGTCATACAGAATTCAATTGTCTGTATTCTCCGGGGCTTTTAAACTGAGTCTGTACATGCTAAGCCATGTAGTAATTTTTAAACAAATAATTGGTTAAAAGCCCTACACATCAACAAACGAATGGCTAGAGAAGCTGTGGTATAGTCACACAATGGAATACTATGCTGCATTGAAAAACAAGGAACTCATGAAGTATACAAAATGGGTTATGCTGAGTGAAATATCTCAGTCACAAAGGGACAAATACTGCATAGTGCCACTGTTGTAAAACGGGACTGACATTGGGGTTGGGGGGAGACTGAGAAAGACGGGATAAATTATGTATACTGCATTGAAACAGATGAGAGAGGAAACTTTAAAAGGAATATATGATTAGGTATTATGGTCATGACAGGAGTCCAGAACAAAGGCCGCACAGTGGAGTGGACTTGGGGGGAGGGATTATATGACAATGAAAGAATTTTTCTTTTCCTTTATTTTTTTAAATAGGTATCATCAAGGTTTATTTGTGATAAGGAAAAAAATGCATTTCTCAATTCAATCATTTTGGAAAAAATCTTCTTTCAAATCAAGATTTAAAATACCTTTACTTTTTCCAATGTCTATTGAGACTTTTTTTCTCTTTTCCTTGGATGTATTTTATTTTTATTTTTTTTAAAAATAATTTTAATGAACATTTACAGCGATTTTGGATTTTCATTCATTCATTGTTGCACTTTTCTCCCTGCCCAGCCCCCCTCTCTCCCCGTTCACTCCTCTCTTTGTTTTTTTTTTT